TAAATGTATGATTACATAAATCGTCATATTGAGGTCATATCCCTCTTCAAATGTCTCCGCCATGACTCATCGGGTGTCACAAACTCGATGTCAACGCACGTCTCTTCTCCGCAGCCGAGGGCCTTCAGAGTTAAAAAAAAAAGTCTTAACAGGGAGACAAGACAGTGGGGTTAAAAAAGAGAAGAGGGAGTACATTTTTTTTCTTCCTCCTCTTCCTTCGTCCACCTCCACCCTCTCTCGGGGTGTCACGTCCTATTTGTGTCCGGAGGCCGCCTCTCTGGCGGTGGCGATGGCGAGAGGCGCTCTCTCGCTTGGCTGGAGAGCGGGGAAGGACTTGGTAGCACGAAAGCGGTGGTCTGTGCTCACATGGGAGAGAGAGAGAGAGAGCGAGAGAGAGAACATGGAGAGAGAGAGAGAGAGAGAGAGAGGTAGAGAGAGAGATGCACCCGTTCAGCCATGTCTTTGACAGGGGAGTCTTTCCGACAGGCGTGAAGAAAGGAAGGGCTGACTGGGCTGAGTGAACTCAGCCCTTGACACACACACACACACACACACACACACACACACACACACACACACACACACACACACACACACACACACACACACGTACATGTTTTTTGTCGCTAAGGAGGATATTGCATTGACTTGCATTCATTCGCTCATCCTTTGACCTTACATTAACCATAAGAGCGACACGGCTAACCTTAATCCTGATCATACTCTCAAATAAATTACGCGTTCCGAGCCTCACATTTTAACATTTAGTCTTTTGAGGTTTCCGTTTTGTCGTCAAATGGACGTTTTGGTCTCCGTAATGTGGCTGTCTGATGTGATTTTCGTCCCCACGGTGGAACTACACCTTGCGTGTCGCGTTCTCATGACCCCGAGAATCCATTTTTTTAGCACACTCACACATCTTCAACCCCCCCCCTCCCCCCCTCCCCCCTTCTCCCCTTCAAGTAGTCGTCATTTTACAGGATCTGTCATTTTCGACAGTATCAAAATGTTTAGATTTTGGATGTCTGTACATCTACTCCTAAATATTCTCTCCTCCATTGTTGGGTTTTTTTTACCTTCCCTTCATTCCTCTGCCGCCGCCGCCGCTGCTGCTGCTGCAGTGAGAGAGAGAGAGAGAGAGAGAGAGAGAGAGAGAGCGAGTGTGAAGCCACATAAGGTTATACACAGTGGCATGACGCCGTGCATTCTGATTTATAGATCTAAAATGGCCGCCGTGTTGTGACTGCTGTACAGGGCTGGACGGAGAGCGAGGGAGTCATGCGGGATGTGAGGGGGGGCGGGGGGCGGGGGGGGGTGTATGTTTGCCCAGAATAGCAGACCTTTTCTTGACATGTTGTCCTGCGCACATGAAGCATCCTCTGCCCCGAAGCGCTCGCTAACACACTGGTTTGGTGTTGTTGACTGATTAATTAGGCCATGATGTCCACGGCTCCACGCTTGTGTCGGCGGCTGGTTTCACCATAATGCCGCTGCCACCGCCGCCGCTCTCACATGTCACGAGTGCACACATTTTGAAAGGTAAATATTTCCACGCTTGTTGAGGGTTTGGCGGTTCTGCGTTGAGGCGGGGGTGTCTGCCGTGTGTGGATGTGTTCGGTCTCTTCCTGCAGGGAGATTAGAGCCCTCACATTGTAGCAGCAGCCACTGAGGACTTAGAGGTCAGCTGCTGCCTCAGCCTCTCTCTGTGGGGCGCAGAGCTTTGATTTACTGACTCCACTGCATCACCTCCAGCACACACACACACACACACACACACACACACACACACACACACACACACACACACACACACACACACACACACACACACACACACACACACACACACACACACACACACACACACAGCTGGTACCACACTGCCTCCATGTGGACAAGATTATTACCTCCCCTCCTGCCCTTCATTGACATCAGATTATTAATCTGTGTGTTGTATTAAACTGACGTTATCCTTCACCTGACGATGACCTAAATGTTTTTATTCATGGAAAATGTCTTATTTCTAGCTCGTGTTTTGTTTTTTTTTGCTTTGAGTTCAGATGCTCAAGTTAAAAAGTCTTTCTTTTTACACTAAAATTAATTGTTCGCAAAACTTTCAAGCCTAAAAAAAATTCAATTCAATTATAATCACTAATCAAGCAGAAATGTAACACAAAAAAAACTCTGGATCAAGCTTTTTCTGATGCAAAAAAAATATTTAAGACTGATTTTAATTAGAATAAGAATGGTATTTATTTAAAAGGGACAATGCAATTTAACATAGTTTCAATCCAGAGCCTGAGACTGATGTGCTGCACAGAGAGTTTATAGCTTTTGCTAATTTCCAACTCTTGTCCTGATTAAAAAAACGACTCATTGAAACTGAGTGTCACCTTCATTAAAGAGTACAGAAAGATGAATGTGCAGTCTGAAACAGGTGCAGGGCTCACAATTCAAAGTGAATACATCAATTATTGAGAGGAGAAATATAACAAACGCAAACTCCTCTGTACAGATTAAGAGGGATTATTGGATGTTTTGGTTAATGGTAAATGGACTTGAGCTTGTACAGAACTTTTCTAGTCTTCTGAATACTCAAAGCACTTTAACACCGCAGGTCACACCTACGCATTCACACCCTGATGGTAGAGTTTTTAAAGTGATCAGTAGTAACTTATCCCATTCACACACCGCCAACAAAGCAGCAGGAGCATGTTAGGGTTAAGTGTCTTGCTCAGGGTCTCATCGACATTTAGCTGCAGGAGCTGGGGTTCAAACCCTCGGTGAAGAGACGACTGACTCTACCTCAGCTGCCTGTTGTCAGGATGAAAATAGTGTAAATGATGAACTGTGGTCATGAGTCTGGTTAAATACCCGTGTTTTAAATGGCATGTTAGACATTTCCCATCAACTAGTGTTAATATAGAAATGAGGAAGTAACTTTTGGAAGAACAATTTTCATATTCAAATCGATGCCTGCACACAATGCAGCTGCTCGAGAAGCTTCCTTCTTTAAAAAAACAACAAAAAGGTGTTTGCCCTACACATTTACATTTTATCTAATCAATACTCCTGAAATAATTTGGGTAAAAAGGACCAGCAGACACACCTGTGATCATCCTACAATAAGAACACTGACTTCATTATGCTGTAAAGTAGCTCTCATGTTAGCACAGCAGCTAACCTAGAGGACGCACTCCATTTGGATTCAAAATGGCTAAACGTGTCTTATCTGCGGTTTGATGCTGGGCCGGTAGCGTTTGAGTCGATCACCTAAATATCACTTATAATTTGAGCTATCGAATGTAAAAACTGGTTATTGTAGTTGAACGTCGATCTCTGAATGTGAGCCAGCTGACACGTAGAAGAAGAGTCTGATCCTCCTTTAAATTCTCTAACCGTATCCATGGCGATGTCATACAGAGAGAGAGGGCGTGCACAGGAGCAGATAAGAACATGTTGAGCCAGGATCGACGACGTTTAGCTTCTGTTTCATGTCGCCTTCTCAACTCTGTGAATCGACGCCCCCGTAAGGCACGGCTCTTCATGCTGCACGCCGTCCTGAGGTGTACCGTGCTACATGCGAGCTACGTGTTGCCCTCAGCCGGTCCCCGTGCACGACGAACTTGTTGTTCTCTGTCAGCTCTCAGGAGCACTGATCTAGGGAGAACTGAGTGCTTGTATTATTAGATAGAGAAAACCACTCAGCGCAGAAGCTATTTGATATATTTGTCAAAGGTGTTTAGTGTGTGTGTGTGTGTGTGTGTGTGTGTGTGTGTGTGTGTGTCAGCGAGCGTGCTTTCTTTTCTTTTTTTTCCCTGGTGTCTTTGAAGCCTTTTCTCAAGGTGTTTTAAAAGTGTAAGTATGAAAGTGTCTTAAGGAGTTCTCAAAGAGAGCGGATACCCTTTGATGCTTTGTCCCACAGAGAGAGCCACAGAGGCAAGCTGCGCTGCGAAAAGGGAAAAAGATGCTCCTTTCTTCTGTCACTCCTCAGTCACCCCGCTTCCTCGTCGAAACGAGCACAAACTCTTTACTGTATTAGCGAGAGGTATCAAAAGTTCACAGCCAATACACAGCAGAATAAAAACAACCATTTAAGAGGTGTGTTCGCTTTGAGGAAGTTACAGAAGAAAGAGGAGAAGGTGCTTGAATGTATGTCATGACTGAGTTGGTGGGAGCAGGATCTGAACGCTGCTGAATGCTTTTTTTTCTAGCACAGGAAGTGAAGACAAATCAGCTGAACTATCTTAAAATGTGGAGATTTCTCTAAACCCAAACTGCATGTCATCTGAAATACGAACATGAGTGTCTTTATTTTTGAAATACCTAAGGCTGAGTTCAAACGTAGGAGGGATTCCTCCTCCTCTGATTTAAAAAAAATAATCCCGTCGACACACACTCTCAAAAACATCTTCATCCACATGGGAACAAATAACGCACTATCATGAGCACGCTAAGTCAACAATGATGTCCTTAACATGAGAACATTTTCTCGCCATTCCTCTGCTATGACCATTTCATTTCCCAAAGTTGTCCAATCAGGCGTCTCTGCTCGTCAACATAGAGGGAGACAGTAACTGTTTATGTATGTGTGAGCGTGTATAAAGTCCAACTTTCACACCAGCACTAATTTGGTCGCGTCTGCCATCACACTTATCTCATGTAAACGAAAGGTACAGCGTCAAACAATGACGTCAAACGGAGGAGAAACCGGCGCACAGTGTGACCTTTAACTCAGTTTTCCCAGCCTACACATTAACACCTTAAGCAGAGTTTTTTTTCAAGTCTTCACCCTGGAAGGAGTTTTCAAAAAGGTTCATTTTCAGTGACCTAAAATGCGTTTAAGGTCACTGAAAATGCACCTTTTGGGAAAACTTGCACTTTGCATGTACAAAAGGCCAAAACACACAAAAAAAGCTATGTTATGCAAAAATACCCGCCTACACGTAAACGATTTTTTCACCCTTCTGGATTGTTCTTTTTTTGTGTCTTGTCCGTAGGATCTGAATAAGAAAGGCTACGGCCCCATCACTACAGAGATCCTGGAGGGGCAGCAGTTTTACTACGCTGAGGACTATCACCAGCAGTACCTGAAGAAGGTACCCAAAGGTTACTGCGGCCTCAAAGGAACCTGCATCTCCTACTCCAGGATCCCTGCAAAGGATGAACTGTGAGGGGTCTGTGGTGAGATAGGGAGGGGGCAAGAAAAGGGAATTCTTAACGGGTCTTTATCTTTCTTACTCTTTTTTTTATAAAGAAACTAGAATCACATGCAGTTTTTATTTTTATAAAACAAAGCAGATATCCTTCCTTAGCCTTAGAGACCATTACTGTACCAACATTGTCTCTTTATAAATCACCTGTTCACAGTATGTGCTTTATATGAACACTGGAAAAATAGAATCTTTAAAGATAAGAAGAAAGATGACATGGGCTGCATCCGAATTGCCAAGTACCTACTCAATCTGTCAGTAGGCAGTACCTACTATCCATGCTGTCTACTGTTTAGTATCTACTATCCAGTCGGCGCGCACAGTAGGCAGATATTTGTTCCTACTTCGTCTGATTCATTCAGTATGGAAGTGGCGTCATTTATGTTACCCGAACCGGCTGCATTAACTCGTTTTTTGTTTTTTTGTTTAACTTTATTCAAGAAGAGTAATGCACATATACAATCAGGTAAACAAATATATATATCACAAGTAAAAGGCAGATTAAATAACTAAATAACATACAGTACATACAGGAAAGTACAAATGAAAGACAGTAAGATACAGAATATAAAATAAACCAATAAAGACACATTTAAATAGTGAAATCATGATTTAAATAGAGGGGGAGAAGTTTTATAATAATGCAGATATTTGTTATATTTTCTGTTGTTAATTAAAAGTAGTGATTTCAGTCAGGACTTTAAATGAAGATTAAATTAATCAATGCTCGTTTGTTTTGATTTGGAGGCGCACGTGAAGTGACGATTTACGATTAACTTCGCACTGCATTGTGGGTGGTAAAATACAATTAATTTCATGAAAGGATGCATCTGATCCTTACACTGCATGAAACCCGGAAGTTAGTATCCATACTGAAATGTTCAGTATACTGAAACTCCCTACTGAAAAGTACGTACTGCCTACTGAACTGTGGCTATTCAGAAAGGGGCCATGATGGTTTGATGAAACTTTGTCACAGCAGTGCAGCGGCCTATTGGACTGCAGGGACACTAAGCCACCACAAGGGGGTGATATTTCCCCAAAATCAAACATCAGCTCAAGCTGTTTAGTATTTCTTCCCTTTTTAGTGAGCATTTTTAAGCTAAGAAACCCTATAAGTGTTTATATTATGAAGTTGGTTGACTCAAAGAACATCAACTAAACATATTAATACGACCATCCTAAATCCAGAACAATGTTACCTCTTGACTGTTAATGCCTCAGAGTGCTTATATGCAGAAAGTTTAAATGGTGAATAGTTCTGTGAGGTGCAAACACAAACATACCAGCTTCAATCTATGCAACCTTTTCTTTCTTTTTTTAGTGGGAATAAAGTATATGAATGAATTCTCCTTGATCATAATCCACTGTACTCTGCCTTTTTACTGTCTCTCACTCATTATTAAAACAAACCTTTTTAAATATTTAGATTTTGTACGATGTCTGTTTTTTTGTGTGTGTAGGTGTAAAGGTGTGATCTTTCATGCCTCTGCTTGTGCACTTGTGTATCTTAAAGATTAGCTACTGTTCCTGCCCCGTTTGACAAAAAGGGACACGGCACACCACTCGGGGGACGAACAGGCATGACTCACTGTGACACACATACACTCTCGGACCAGTCATTTATCACTGAGTGACACATCAGAGGCACTCATGTATGCAATATGATACACACTCTCCTTTCACCCTCTAAACACATAATTATGAGTAAAAAAAAAAAAAAAAAAGTCCTTTAAGAGATCATATCACTACAAACGACAACTTCTGAACAGGCAGCGTTCCAGCTCTTGCTATTATTAAACACATCAACCTGATAGTCTTTATTTCAAAATGAAAATCACACTCATCACAGCATTCCGAAATACACAGATGATATCTAGAAAAAGCTTTTTGGTCGACCGCAGTAGTGTGATTCACCCCGCTTTTTTCTCCCTCTCTGCTATCTCTCTCTCTCTCTCTCTGTCTGTGTGTGTGTCACATCCTGACACCTGTGTGTAGGTGTGGACCAGGGCACAGGTGCAGGTGCAACCTCTCAGGGCCTATTTTAGTATTGGGGCAGATATTTTTTGCATGTGTCTGCATGCAGCAGCCGCTTTGTGTGCATCTGTGTGAATGTGTGTGTGTGTGCGTGTGTGTAGCTGTGGCTTGCTTGATCGAACTACACAGAGTGGTATGCGGTCGAGCCAGCTAGCTGTTTTCCATTGCCTGTCTTTATTTTTTGCGTGCTGTTGTTTTGTCAAACATTATAGAGGAGATAACCTTTTAATAATCTTTTTGAAGAGCGTTTGATCGCCTCGTCACAGACGTTTTCCTGCCGTCTGTCTTGACTTCACGAGACACCTCACTGAACCAAAAGCATTGCTCTGAGAAGGCAACCCTGACATTATGAGTCCATTAAATGTAAGATAAGATCCTAACATCTCCACGTTTAATGTAGTCGCGTTAAAAATGTCTGACATTTATAAGTAGCTGCACTGCGTGAGAGAGAGTGTATGTTTTCACTGTCTTCCTTTGTAATAGATAAAAAATGGAGCGTGGAAATGCATGGTACTCTCATGTACGCATCCATACACAAACACAGTGAGGCAGGGCAGGACAGGAACCAGGCTGTGTGTGCCCTTCAGACAGAGCCTATTGTCTGCAGATGGGCCTTTAATGGCCCCACAGCTGGCCACAAAGAGCATGCATGCACCGCTCCAGATCGCTGCTATGGCCTATCCTCAGTCACCCTGACGAGAGCACCAACACCACCGTGCACAGCCGCGTGATATCTTCGTCTAATATGCTTTTTAAAAAGATGCTCCGTGTGTCATTTCTCCGTATTCCTTCCACTTAGATATCCTAGCGAATTTAAAGACGAATGGGTTTTTACGAGTGGGCTGAAGGTTTTTCGCTTGTTTGTACCTTCACATGCACACATTTCAAACACACACATCCCAACCACCACCTCTACCTCCGTCCTGTACCGCTGCCTAATGCAAGAAGGCATCGCCCACGCAAAAAAAAGAAACAAACACACCAAAAAGACACCTTGCAGAGACGTGCACCCACACAACATTTTTTTCTTGCACTCTCTCTTGATACATTCTCTTTTGTGTCCTCCTTTTTCGCAGCTTTTTTCATTTGTCTCGCCCCTGACAGCCTTAATAGATCTCACCCTGTGTACATACAGCCCCAATGCGTATACATTTATCATCGTGGACTGCCATTGCTGGGAGTTCTTCTTCAAATGCGGTGCCATTTAAATTTGTTTGCATTGTTTGGCGAGCCACAGAAATAGAACAGCAGCAGAGTGTTTGTATTCTGGTGCCATCCTACCAGCTGGAGAATTGTTTTGCCATCTTGTCTTGTTCCACACATAATTACTTTTCTAGAATGTCGAGGTAGCGGGCGCACAATTGTGTGCTCGATATACGTGTGGGTGTGCGTATCTTCTGAGAGCAGATGGAAAACAAAACGCTCTTTTCAGTACGGCCTGTGCACTCTCGTGATGTTAAGTGAGTTGTGTGCGTCTTTTTTTTTTTTTTTTTTTTAGATGCCAGATGTGTTTGCATCCCTCCCTTGCTCTCCCTTCCCCTCCCTCTGGTTCCTGCATGGGCTTCAGGGTCTCAATCAGAGCATCAGGGCTCCAGGAACCGTGAGCACAGCAGTCTCTCTGTGCTGTCCCAGAGAAATGCAGCCTTGTCTGGGTCGGTGCATCTGCAGCCTTGGGGGGTGAGCCGGGGGAAGCCAGTTGAACCCTGGTGCCCCTGCAATGTCAGTTTCACTTCAAGGTTTTTCCTCCATTGGTGTGGCCTGACCCTGAACTCTAGCAAAAAGCTTATAGAAGAGTACTACAGTATGATACAGTGTATGTTATCACTGTTGCATTAAGACGTTTCAAAGTGTCTTCAAACAGGTTAGTTTGGTGCAATACCCTCTTTGACAATGACGGCATGCTCATACACGCAGAGCTGTTCTTTTCTCACACTCAGAGAACTTGTCCCAGGACTGTTCCTCCTCTCCTTTCCTTTCCTCCGGGAATAGCGATGAGTTAAGGGTGGGCATAGGGGTTGGAGGGCGGCACGTGCGGCAGGTCCCGGTTGGCTCGCTCGCTCACCCACTAAAGCCCCCATGGCTTTCTGGCTGAGGGCCCACACTGTGACACTCTCTCTCTTGCACCTGGGAGCCTGGTGTGTTGTCAGCCATGCTAGCTCGCTCGAGCTAACACCACATGACACACAGGAAACACCGAAATAACTGCTGAGTGTCTTCAGCACGGTAACCACTGACTGGAGGTGTGCTGCTGACAGAACAAGGCTGAGGAGAGAGGGGGGTTAAAGGGGAAGACAGAGACTAAAGGAACGCTGGGTTGGGATAGGAGAGACAATGGCTTTAGGGTGTTAAGAATAGAAAACTGGAAAAGGAAAATGAAACACAAAGCTGCTTAGGGCGCACTCGCACCTGTGCTGCCTTGATAAGAGGAAGATTCCACTGGCCTTTATCTCCTCACAAAATGTTTAACCAAATGCGTTCATGTATTCATTGACATATCGAGCATATCCTGTTTTGTCATTTTGTTTAATCATCAAACCGCTACAAAAAAATGATTGTGCAACAACGAACCATTGACATTTTACAGCTGAGGAACAGATGTAACTGTGAAATTTCCAAAACACGTCTTTCTCTCTTGCTCAATCTGCAGCGTCTGTCTGCACTCTGATTCATCTGAGCCACACGTCAGTGGAGTCAGGTCTTTTTCTTTTACCGCCACCGTCAAGACTTTGATTAGGGATCAGCACAGTGTGTTCCACAACATTTGGGTTTGTTCAAGAGCTGATGTGCTTGTGTGTGAAATTTATGAGGAAGCAGGAAAAAGAATCCAAACACACACGTTCACCTTTCTCATTGCCAAATGCACAAACGGTGTTTTCTGTAGGGTTGCCACCGACGACTCATTTCTACCAACACTTTGAATCCTTTTTTTTTTTTTTTTTTTGTCTTGAGTTCAGTTTTCAGTGGAGAGGCCACTCAACGTGGTGATGTGCTGACAGTACTGTCTGCGTCTGATTGAATATGTTTCCCGTCTATGCTAAAGATGTGAAGGAAATGAGTAGATAGAGGGAGAGAAACAGAGCAGGGAGGGGAGGGGGGGGGGGAGAGATAGTGCTGCTGGCTGCACTAGGAGGAAGCTGGGTCTGATGCTTCTCCATGCAGCTGCTCCCAAACACCCACACTCTTCCTGTTGGAGTGTGTGTGTGCTTTTTTTGTGTTTAGATCGAGTGTCTTACTTAAGGAAAGAGGAACCTGTATTGTATTTTTTTGACTTGAATGGTGTAGGGATGTTGCTTTTTGTTACCCATATCAGAGAATAGTTTAATGACTATACAGCCTGTTCTCTACAGACGGATCATTTTCTACGATCAAACAGGAAACCGCCTAGAACAAAAGGTTTCAGTGGTGACGCTTTAAAATGTCTTTAAAAAGGAGAACAGGTAATCTAC